AGCGGCTGGTGGCGGCGATGCTTAAGGAACTATCTTCTGTCACCCCTTTTTTTTTTGTTATTGCTTTCAGACAATTTTTATGTTACCCGCATTTATATATATATATATAAAGGCAATGGGTTTTGTTCATACCATGATTCATAATCATTGATTTTCTTTCTCTTTCTCTTTCGAAAATTCCTTGGAATTTACTAAGTGTCGTCTTTTTTCCTTGGAAGATATGACGTTGAGCTTATCCATTCGGGTCGTCGTCTTAGGAAATTCCTTATAATTTCACTAAGTGTTATGTCTTTCCTCCTTGGAGGATTTGACGTCGAGCTTATCCCTTCGGGTCGTCATCTTAGAAAATTCCTTAGAATTTCACTAAGTGTTTTGTCTTTCCTCCTTGGAGGATTTGACGTCGAGCTTATCCCTTTGGGTCGTCGTCTTAGGAAATTCCTTAGAATTTCACTAAGTGTTATGTCTTTCCTCCTTGGAGGATTTGACGTCGAGCTTATCTCTTTGGGTCGTCGTCTTAGGAAATTCCTTAGAATTTCACTAAGTGTTTCGAGCGCCTTCATTCCCCTCACGTCTGTTAAATACACCCTTGAATTTTCTTTTAAGCATACACGTTATTAAGAGGTCAATCTATCTCACGCTGAAAACATATTAATTTACTATATTTGCAAAGAATGTGTAATCAAAAACGCATAACAACTTCATACATTATTGGTAGTACAACCTTTGTTGCTCAGCATTCCATGAGTGTTGAACCTTTTTGCCGTCGAGGTTTTCTAATACATAGGTGACAGGTCGTAGCATTTTCCTTATGCGATAGGGTCCTTCCCAAGTTGGGCTCAAGGGACCAGTATTCTTGGATTTTGTGCTTTGTGTCACCCTTTTTAATACTATGTCTCCCGGGATGAACCTCATTTGCCGGACTTTCTTATTGTAGTATCGCGCTGTCCGTTGCTGATAAGCGGCGAGACGTAGTTGGGAGTCGAGTCGCTTTTCTTCCAATAAATCGAGTTCTCCGTTCATGCCCTCCGTGTTATCCTCATCGTTGTGGACAACAGTTCTTAGGGTCGGCGTTTCGATTTCTATGGGAAGTACCGCCTCGACGCCATACGCCATGGAGAAAAGTGTTTCTCCTGTCGTAGTTCGGCTTGTTGTTCTATATGCCCACAAAACTTTGAGAAGCTCATCGGCCCATCTCCCTTTTAAGTCATCGAGTCTCTTCTTTAGGGTATATTTGAGTATTTTATTGATGGCCTCGACTTGCCCATTTGACTGTGGATGGATTGGTGCCGAGAAGTCTTTTCGGATGCCCAAACCGTCGCAAAATCTGTGTGTCGCGGCGTTGTCGAACTGCTTCCCGTTGTCGGACACTATCGAGTGGGGAACCCCAAACCTGCACACGATGTGGTCCCACATGAATTTGGTGCAGGTTGCTTCCGTGGTAGTGGTTAGGGCCTTGGCCTCTGCCCACTTTGTGTAATAGTCTACCGCAACGATCGCGAATTTCAACCCCCCAGGTGCAGGATGCAATGGCCCGATCAGGTCAATCCCCCACTTGGCGAAGGGCCATGGACTGAGAATGGAAGTTAGCTTTTCCGGTGGTGCTCTAGGAATCGTGGCATACCTTTGGCATTTATCACATCGTCGGGCGTACTGAAAAGCATCATTCTTGAGCGTGGGCCAGTAGTATCCTTGCCTCAAAACCTTTAGCGCTAAAGATTGTCCCCCGGTATGATTGCCATAGATCCCTTCATGTATTTCTTGAAGGACCTTCTGGACTTCGGCATCATCTAGGCACCGTTGTAGAGGTGTTGAGTAGCCTCGTCGGTAGAGTAGGCCATCGTATAATAAGTACCTGGCGGCTCTATACCTGATCCGTCGGGCCTCGTTTTTACTATTCGGCAACTGTGCGTCCATTAGGTACCCTATGAGTGGTGTCATCCAATTTTCTCCCTCGGCGTGTTCCTCGATGGTCGGCCGTTCCAATTCTTCAATGGGGACAACGCCTAGTGTGTCGGCATCCTTTGATGAAGACAGCTTTGCCAGTGCATCCGCGTTTGCATTTTCGGCTCGTGAGATCTGGAGTATCTCGTAGTTTTTGTATTTAACGAGCTCATCTATTACCTTTCTCAGATATGCCCCCATCTTCTCACCGCGTGCTTGATATTCCTCCTTTATTTGCGCGATGACTAGCTGGGAGTCGCTCTAGACGCTAATCCTCTCGATCTTTAAGTGGTTCGCTAAACGTAGTCCGGCAATTAGGGTTTCATATTCCGCCTCATTATTTGATGCTTTAAATTTGAACCGTACCGCCGAGGTAATCTTGTGGCCTTCGGGGCTGATTAGTAAGACGCCGGCTCCTGATCCGTTTTTGCTCAACGCCCCATCCACGTAAAGCTTCCATCTTGCATCCTCGGTTTCTTCAGATGGGGTGTAGGTCGGCCTGTGAGAGAATTCAGCCAGAAAGTCGGCGAGCGCTTGACCTTTAATAGCGGTTCTCGGCATGTATTTTATATCAAACTGGCTCAGTTCTACCGACCATTTGAGGAGCCGTCTGGACGTTTTCGGCTTTTGTAAGGCCTGTCTCAACGGGTGGTTTGTGAGAACTCGTATTGTGTGGGATTGGAAGTAGTGCCGAAGCTTTCTCGAAGCTATCATCAAGGCGAGGGCTAGACGTTCTATTTCGTTGTATCTCGACTCGGCGTCGAGGAGTCTTTTGCTCACATAGTAGATCGGCAATTGTACCTTCCCTTCTTCCTTTATTAGTACGGAGCTCACGGCGTGTTGGGACACAGAGAGGTATAGGCTGAGCTCTTCATCAGCGTTTGATTTTGACAAAATTAGAGGTTTGCCCAAATACTCCTTCAGTTTTTGGAAGGCCTCCTCGCACTGTGGTGTCCATTCGAAGTGCTTGTTTCCTTTCAAAGCGTCGAAGAAAAGGACACTTATCAGTGGCTTTCGATATGAATCTATTTAGGGCGGCGACACAACCTGTCAGTCTTTGCACCTCTTTTGGCCTTATTGGTGACCTCATATCTTGCAGAGCTTTGATCTTCTCAGGGTTGGCCTCAATCCCGCGGTTACTAACCATAAACTCGAGAAACTTTCCCGACCCGACTCCGAAGGCACATTTCTGGGGATTAAGTTTCATGCGGTATTTTCTCAATATGCTGAACATCTCTCCCAGATGATCGACGTGATGGCTGGCCCTGGCGCTTTTTATGAGCATGTCGTCAATGTAGACCTCCATCGTTTTGCCGATCTGTTGAGCGAACATTTTATTTACTAGCCTTTGGTAAGTAGCCCCTGCATTCTTTAGGCCAAAAGACATTACCTTGTAGCAGTAGAGACCCCTATCGGTTATGAAAGATGTGTGCTCTTCGTCGGCTGGATGCATGGGGATTTGATTGTATCCGGAGTAAGCGTCCATGAAGCTCAGCATTTCGTGCCCCGCCGTGGCGTCGACCATTTGATCTACTCGAGGGAGTGGGAAGCCGTCCTTTGGGCATGCTTTGTTGAGGTCGTTGAAGTCGACGCATGTTCTCCAGTTCCCGTTGGGTTTGATTACCAAGACAGGATTAGATACCCAACGTGGATAATGCGCCTCCCGGATAAATCCATTGTTGATTAACTTATCGACCTCTTCCTTCAGCGCTTCGTACCTCTCATGATTCATTGGTCGCCATTTTTGACGTTTGGGAGGATACGTGGGGTCGACGTTTAGGGAATGACACATTACTTTGGCGTCGATCCCCTCCATGTCGGAGTGGCTCCAAACGAAGACATTCAGGTTCTACCTGAGGAAATTTTTAATCCTGCTTTTGAGCGGTGGGGTCAAGTCCGAACCTATTTTTAGTATTTTGATGGTTCCGCTTTC